TGTTGCTATAACGGCTCGCACTAGTCTTTGATTCTTTTGAATGCTTGTACTGACAAACAATAGTCTAAAAAAATGTGTAAATCATTTTTTTTATTTTCGTTCTTATACTCATACCAGTAATTTACGGTACCATCTGAAGAAAACAAACAAATAGATCGGAGGTCGATGCTAGCGATTATTTTTGACTCCATACAGCCACTGATTTGAAACCTTCTTCTAATTTCTTGAGGCAATCCAACAGATAAATAAAAATCTTTTTGACATTGCTATATATTAACAAGTGTTGATAGATCAATTAAAATTCTGAGATGTCCATCATACATGATCTTAAATTATTCAAACCCATTCATTTTGTTGTCCAGTTCATATAAGAAAAGAAGGAGATAAGTTATATGCGTTTTTTGATCCTCTGCTGACTGTCTTCAATATAATTGTTACGACTGCCAAGCATGTAGCGTCATGATAACTTGTTTTCAATAAAAAAAAATGTCCCTTGAAAAATGGAATAGAGTGATAACAGATACAAAAAAAAATCTATGATTTTGTTTTATTTAGAATTTTGCATCATTGCAACAGCTAAGAGGAGCAAGTCAAAGGAAACAAAATGACAAAAGTACAAAATATCCCAATATGGACGGAAGATCGATTTTTGCTATTTATATATCCCTATGCAGATGATATCTACATTAGTGATTTAGTATCGCCAATACGTGATTTGCAAGTATTTCTGAGGTGCTTTGAAAACAACAAACCAGGGCAGATCCGTTGCGGCAGGGTTCAATATGAGATTAGGGCAACTTAGTGGAGACCGGGGTAAGTTCGGCCTTGGGGTAACAGTGCAGTTCACTGGGCAGGTCATTCATACGAAAAAATGTCGGAAAACATTACTTTTATATTAATAATAATGTTTCGGAAGGGTAGAAAGAAAATCGTGGCCTCATTTCTTTCTAGTTTTGCAAACTTTCTTGTTGTCATACGTGTAACAAACCGACAGCTTCACATGATGGTATGCGTATATAGAAGGCACACAAATTAACAATCACATATCACAATATATAGTATAGAGAATAGCAATGAGATATAATTAAGCATTGAACTGTTTTTGTATGGTATTTATGATCTATTTGAGTGTCATTCAAATAGATTATAAATACCATACAAAAACAGTTCAATACTTATATTTACGTTTTCTCTGTCTCTTATGTTCCTTTTTAACTTACAATTGATATTTAAAATTTAAAATTCCGCCTTATCGACAGTCCACACAAATTCGTTCAATAGTTGGAACAGCGTGTTATCGCGTGCTGATTGGCAAACAAAGTACTTTGAAGTTTTAACAAACACTTTAATTTTATTCCACAATTCAGTATCAATACAATTGCGTATGATATCTCCCTTGCCCTCCACGAGGGAGTTATTTTTGGAAGTTAAATGAGCAAAGAGAAAAATTCAAATTTGTGAAGAATCCAGACGTGAATGTATGTGTTGATTGTATGGGAATCTGACTACAGTCGGTAGATTCTATAACAGCCTCTTTATTTGACATGTCGTCAGAAACTGAGGAAACCGTGGCTGCGAGACGCGTGAAACTGATAGCGTTTGAAGTGAGTGATCTTGCGACGGAGCACAGGGGTTCGTTACAAATGTCTGAAATGTTTACGTGTGCTGCGACTCATATCAGTAGGTCTGTAACATATGTGTCAGTAGGTCTATATAATATGTGCATTTCAGAAATTTGTAATGAACCCCTGTCGATCAGTGCAATGCAACAGACGATATTTCTGATAAATTGCATAAGTGTTAAAATTGTTTCCATTGCCGGCATTGGTAATTTCAACCGATGTACATTTTGTACGATATTGCAGACCTTTGTCTTGTTTTTGTTGTGATATTTATTTATATTATCTTTTTCCTTTTTTACATAAATTTACAATTGCATTGTCAAGTCTCACAATGCCGAGCGATATTTCAACAACCGTCATATTTATTTACATTGGATATTGTAGTTCCGGTCAGTGTTGTATTGATACGCTAAGAATTGGGTCTCTTGCTGCATGGTAATTAAAGTCCCATCAACGACACAGCCTTCAAAGAGGCTATATAGTGACAATGCCATGTAAATGTAAATATTTAGAGCTATCTTTCACTCGTTATATGTGTTTGATAAATTTTACTAGAGCATTTCTTGCCTTTGATTTTATTGATTTAAAGTGATCAAAGGTTCGCCATTTTGTTCAAACTGCATCAATTTTCAAACAAATTAGCTAACCAGTTGTTACTTTTGTCTGTAAAGCCTATTGATAGCTTTTGAAAACAAAACATAAAAGCGTCATATCGACAATTGCAATGATAGCAGCAAAGTCCATACGCATTACTTTTGCTTCGAATACCTTATGATGATGTTGACATGCAAATAATGTTAGTTTATGAAAAGGTACAATGAAATTTCATTTCCACGTAACATTTTTTCCCATTTACTTTAAGAAATATATAATACAAATCATCTTTTAGTTCAAACTGAATTGTACCTAAGAGTACAAACCCACTATTAACGGTTTTACAGTCAATGTAATAATGTAGAACATGTATTGCAGAATTGGATAAAATGCTAAGAGTAATAGTACCGATCGGAAATTAATGACGTGTACGATGTTTCTGATGTCACTTAAGCCATCCGGATAGTTTTTCATTCCGTAACATTTATCTTCCAATCTTAACATATCGCACAAATGTGCACGTTTCACTCTACAACTGGGCAATCGATTTTTAAAGTGCCAAGTTAGGCGGGAGATGTGCTCAAGGTAATTTTGGTGTGTTGCATGAACACGCAACTGTACCTTCTAGCAATACATCGGGGAAAAAACATCGATATGTTTATGCATTTATGTCACCAATTGTGGCTTAATAACACACACTATGTTCGACATATGCGATACACTTCAAAATTTCATCGTGGTAATATAGTTAACGAGTGGACGAAGGACGAGTCTTCGTTAATTGGTAGCAGTTATCGGATTTTTATATGTGCAGTAAATAAACAAGTTAAAGAATAAATATAACCCTTTTACTGTTATTATTTATTTATTTTTATTATTATTTTTTTCTTGTTTTGTTTTCTTATCTTATGTATTCATTCATTTCTTATTATTATCATTTATTTTTCTATTCATATATTTAAATGTTATATCTCTGGTAGTAATTATTGAAAGTTTATAACCTCGTTAATACTGGTAAAATCGATTCCTTAGCTGTCCCAATATGAATAACGTTTATTTCACGAGGGCGGATGAGTACCATATTTTTCCGTAAAACAAATCAATTTTCCAGTTACAGTTAATAACATTTCTTTTCTTTTATGTTTTTTTTTTTTTAATAAAATCACCTTATAATTTGGTACAACCTGAACCAGCAATCACGTGATAATTCCATGACACTGTGTATCGATCGCAGTGTCAGGTGTCATATTTCTCCCTCTGGACAAAATCATTCCTTGGTTTGCTGCTTTTGTAAGAGTTATTTGTTCAGGAACCAATTTAGCAAACATCCATGCATTACATATATCATATTGCACACACGCCTCATTTTTTAACGCTCTGCACTACTGAATTTGACCAAACATCGACAATTTGCGTTTTGCGGGGGAGGGGTGATTGTCTGTTACGTTAATAATAACCATATTGATGTTTCCGATTTGGTGAAATGTATCCTTTTATCAAGACATCATATAAGCATCCTATATCTTACTGCTAAAATATAACAATGAAACAAGAATACGAAGGTGTCACCGAAATACGAATTACAAATCGATTTCAACATCAAGACTATTGAAATAGTAGAAGGAGATTAACATCGGGTGTTCCGGAAGGGTGAGCGTCTTTTGACTCATCGAGGACAGCCGCAATGTAAATCTAGATCAAATCCAAGTAAAGTCACGTCCTCATAGCAAGAACAAGACAGTGATAACGAAACCGCAAGATAAGCAGATCGTAAAACTTTCCCTTTCTTGAAAGCTAGATCCCTGCTCGCAATTGATTCTGTATTTTAGAGCTTGCTCCGAAAATTATACCTTCATAGTATACAAAGCATATTTTCAAATTGGATCATATACCATTACCTAGTCCATAGTCTCAATAAACATGCATCTAAGGACACTTTGTGTTGTAAATTTGTGTTTAAACAACCGACATCTATCAAGGAAATCATGACATTCGGAGGAATCAACTGCGAGCAGGGATGTAGCTATCGAGAAAGGACAACTTAACGATCTGATAATCTAAATCGTTACGATTATCGTACAGCTTAGCAGTAAGTCATCCTAGTGGTCATGTTATAAGTAAAAATAGTTGAAAGCATCTGAAGTTACAAGTTACAAGTCCTGATAATGTCATCAATAAAAAAAATCAGCCTCATATAAAACAAAATCAAGCCGGCCAGAAGTGGGGCACAGTTTGTAACTAGATGGATGCCTTCAGTCTACTGAACAATCTTGCCCCCGAACTCAACAAAGACTATGTCAACGAGAAACTGAATCATTCTTTTCATTTCCTTTTGGGAATTTGTATGATAAAAGTACAATCATATCATTTTATAGAACAGTGTGTGTGACAGAATATACTTCTGTGATTATTTGAATGAATGCGGTTTAATGACGGAACAAATAGAGAATGTGTGAAGTAAAGGAATATTGCTGAAATATAGATGATGACAACAGTACAACATGTATGTGTCAGCTAAAAGAATAGAGCATTCAAATATACACGTGTCACCTGGTATACATACCTCTTTATTTTATCATCAGATACACCATTATGATATATCACCTGGCATACCATAATAATACCATTATATTATATCATCTGGTATACTATGACATTAACTTTCGGTATATGAGTATATTAGAGAATATTAAGGAATAGGGCTTCATGATGTAAAGACCTACGAACGATTTAAAATTATAGGTTCATCATAACGTTAGAAGTTAAACGGTAGACTTTACTTACCTATGATTCCATCAGTCGCGAGAAATGGATCATTTGTTGCATAATACTTGAAAGAGTACGCTGGTTTCCCGCTTTCAATAACTTCCAAATCTGGATCTTCGACTTTAAATATATTGTCATAATAAAAATCAAAAATTGGCGGTTTGTGGCAAATTCAATCACTTTCTATAAGGATGTTGTTACATGCGATTTTATAAATATGAATATATACCCTATGTATGACTATTCGAATAATATTTTATAACATTTTATAATGAATACTATATAATCAGTAGAATAATGAAAATTTCATAAAACATACAACAATACTGCAAAAGTTTCCTAATTCAGTGAAAAATAGATAAACACAAAAATCTGAAAACACCCCAGATTCAGTGATTCGCGGATGAACACCAAAATATGAAGTCCATCCCCAGTTAAGTAATTCGCGGATTAACACAAAAATCTAAAACCACTCCCCAATCAAGTGATTCGCAAATTAACATAAAACTCCCAAATTCAGCGATTCGCTGATTATTACAAAAATCTGAAACCAATCCCCGATTCAGTGATTCGCAGATTAGCACAAAAATCTGAAAGCAATCCCTACTTCAGTGATTAGAGGATTAACACAAAAATCGTAAACCACTCCCAAATTTAGTGATTCACAGGGGGTGATTCGCAAATTGGCACAAAAATCTGAAACCACTCCCTAGTTCAGTGATTCGCGGATAAACACAAAAAATTGAAACACTCCCCTATTCAGTGATTCGGGGATTAGCACAAAAATCAGAAACCACTCGTTAGTTCAATAACTCGTGGATTAACACAAAAATCTTAAACCAATGGTGAATTGTAAGGAAATAAAATGAAAACTATGATTGAGTTTTAGTCAGCAATCGTGAATTCAGTATTGGATCATTATCGTTCCATAGTTCAAACAAGGACTGTATTTTAAATATGCTGTCTTCTGATATGTCGTTTTGTAACTTAGTCTGCTGGATAAGCCTAGAAATGTTACATATACAAAACAAACATGCGCAAGAACTGTGCGCTTGACTAAGAAACCCTGTCCCAGTGCAGGAAAAAAACTAGAGAATTTTTGTATAAAGCGTAGTCTCGCTTTAATTTTGGTTTTGATATAACTGTAGTGCATTTAGGCCAGTGCACTCCAGTTGATCAGGTAGCTCAGTTGGTGAGAGTAACATTTTCCACTCAGAATATTGTTCTTTATATGTTTTGTTGATTTCATTTCAATTATTTTTCATAAAGTCCCGAAGGTATGGTTCTCTTATCAGAAATGATTAATGAAAGCTATATTAATGCCAGAAACGCAGTTTCTAATACAAATTATATTTTTAGCAGTGTTATGGGGATCCTTAAATTGAGGGAAATTGTAAGTGTTTTGATAGCATTTGATATACATACCACATATCGGTACGTCACACTTCTCCCTGGTCTCCATGCCTACGAAGCACATTGGTTGTTTTTCCTCAGGCGTATAGTCAACTGTACCACAGTAGTTCTCCTCCCGTTCGTAGACCCAATACCTGGTAGTGGCGTATGGGTCGTCCGGTAATTCCGACCACCGGACGCAGCTTTTACCACTGGCCGAAGTATTATGACGCCCATTGTAAGAAGCGCCATGGTCATTAGGATAATAACACTCACGTCGTGCTGTCGTGTAAAATCAAGTTTAGTATTAATCAAAATGCAACCATATACTGCATACCGGGAAATGTTTGCCTCGGTTTGACTTTCGCTTAATTTGCTTTCTACAATGAGGGCGTTTTAATCATGACTTGTATAGTGGTTATATTTCGCGGGGGTTTAAATTTCGCTATATTCGCGCTTTGAGTAATATCCGCGAATTCTAAACACCAGACAGCTGGGCAGTCCATGTAAAAACAACACTTACATGTAAGTGGCCACATATTTAAGTGTACACAGTAGGTGATCAGTGTTTTCATACGGTTTATTGTATTTCAAGGCTTAATCCTTAAATGATGACACTCAAAATACTTTGCACGACACATGGTATTCACAGCGAAATTTAACCCCCGCGAATATGTACTGAATGCGAAACCGCGAAATATTGACCCGCGAATTTAAAGCACTAAACAGTACTAACTTCACCGATAAAGGGTGAATATTTGTCAATGCGAAAGTGTCAGATATTCAGTGCTACATTAAATAATACTGCACGAACTGCATAGTTTTAGAAATGCCTTTCTCAAGCGGAAATGGAGTATGACAGAACACTTCGGTCTTCAACGAAAACATTGCCGATAACATAATCATTTTAAAGTGAGATCTGCAATGACGAAGGTCTGTTATAGTAGCCTAAACGAGCAATATATTGTTTTGACTTTCTATATATACAACTTTAACGGTATAAAATAGAAAAGGGCATTGTAGAGAAGTGTTGTTTCAGCAAAGGGCAATATACGAACCATTACGTTATGTTTTATACCTTTGGGTTTGTAGTAGCAGTATGGTACCCCGACATGCCTGTCTTTGCGGGTGACGTTGGTATAGTGACCAGAAAACTCCCAGTTATCGTGTTCGTTCGTCATGTAGAACACTTCTTCCATGACATCCATTTCACTTACGTTTTGACAAGCCTTTGCAGATGAACCCTATTCATTGGACATAATTAAGGAAAAAAAATATTTCAAAAATGTTAAATGCAAAGCTTCTGAAACAAACGTCCAGTATAAATAAACAATGGTAGCCTGATCTTATTTCGATTGCTATCACTTAGATTGAGACGGGGATTCTTGTTCAATCTAAACCATGCATGCAGTTCTAGATAAGAGCATCGAACCCTAAACATTCTTTTGACTTGTTCTAGACCGATTTGCTTTAGCTATGCACATAAGATAAATGAAACTTCCAAACATCATTTTTTTATAAAACAAAATCAAAGTTTACAACAAATGATGTCAAGACTGAAATATATCTGTAATTATCCATTTGCCTGTTTTTATCCGGTTATATACAGTAAATTATTGATCATTCAAAATTATTTCGTTCATTTACAACTTTGTTTACAGCCAATATATTTCAAGGTCCCCATTTCCTTTTCCTTGACAATTCATATTGTCGGATTGTCGCTTTGAAATGCCATTTGGTTCTGGACAATAGTGATATTATAACCAGGTAATACTGTACGGTGATATTACAACCAGATTATAATGTATGTAATACATCCTTAACAATCGGGTTTAATCCCGATGATTTGAAATCTGCAAATAAGACATTCGTTGAAAAAACTATAAATCTTGACATCCAATATGTTTGATGAGATTTGGATATTAAACTAATCAAGAAAAGTCCTCGACGCAATTTGGAGAACTAATTCCTAATAAGATCATAAAATGTTCGACAGTTTGTGCCAATACAAAATATGGTAAAAAGCACAATGATAATTTTGGAGTGAAAACGTTGAATTTCCATAGCCTTAATTCTGTATCATTGTACAATGACGTCAGCCAGTCTCCCAAGTAAAGCTTTGATCATATTGCGCAGAATAAAATATCAACTGTTTAGTTTCCCCCATGCATGGCTCGTTTTGGAATAATAATTACTATTGACAATTAAAGAATAAATATTTGAAATGCTTTTCAGCTAACCAGTCTTTTAAGAGATAGTCTGTCATTAGGTTGTCCATGTCCCATGTGTATCATATAGTCCAGTCCATCGATACCATGTATAATAGACTGGAGGAAACTAATCAATTAATACATTTTCTACAATGACAATACAATTTTCAGTGATATTTCCCCAGATAGCCATATTGGCAAACAGTCGTCAAATAGAACGAAATAGTGAAATCATTTAAAAAGGGGATGATTTGGTACAATTACGATATCTCGTTATGCTACTTATTGTTCCCAACCCCTTTCATACTCAGATAAATCGTTTCATTTTATTTCTCAGTTCCACTCATGCATTGATTTATTGGAATAACACTTGCATTAATGTTTTGTTTATTTTAACAAGACATTGCAAATTTTACAAATCCATCGACATACAGGAACATCGGTCGAAGAGCATTAAGCTAAGAACGGTGATAACTTGAAACAGTACTTAGTGACACATTCTCCAGAAATTTCATTCTTTGATTTTATATTTCATTGAATTGTGTTTTTTTCAATATTTAGAGAAGCTTATATAATTAGAAAGTTACCAATTGAAATTGATTTTCTTTTAGATAGATGATGCATTGACCTTGGTCGTAACACTACAAAACGCAAACTTGTTCCAGGTAGTTTCATTTTTGACTATTGTAGGAAGCGGAAATCTATTCAGACATAAAAATCATTATAGTGATAATGACAATATGTATATGTATGATGACCTGAACCTAAGCCTGAAACACGGACTCCTGGGCTTTCTCTAACTTAACCATCGTACGATGTTTGATGACAGCGGTGTGCTCCTGCCAGATAGTATAACCTTCACCCATTAGTTAAACATTTAACCTATGATCTCTCGAATTTCAATCGGATTCAGTCTTTAGTCATGTTCAACCAACCTACCAATTTTTTTTTATTTTTCTTCTTATTATTATTTTTGGTTTGGTTTCAGGTTTTAAAAACCTGAACAGTCGTTAGACTGGTACCTGTCCTTTGACGAATATTTTTATATTGATAACGAGCACACTGCGTGAAACAGAATGATTCATATTCAAATAAAGTGACATCAAAGAGCTAAGGCGGGTTGCTATGCCTATTTCCCCAAAGCTGTGATTCGCTAGTGTGCGCATCCTACCGTGCACTGTTATGACGCGTCCTCAGGTATTTGTATACGAGTAGCTCTATCGAAATCTCTCGTCAGAACAGATTATTGTAAACAGACGAATTTAAGGCCGTGGCTATTAATACATGCATTTCATGATAAAGACCCAACAAAATGCTTATTTCGCGTAACATGAAACACAAAATCGTTCAATCCTTACCAACAAGTTTGAAAGGATTTAATTTTCATTACCACTGCCTACGTCATGCCTTAAAAATCACACATCTTCATTTTGTTCTTACCGCACCTTGGGATGGTAAACTAACATATAGTTTTCACACAGCATGCAGTGGCGTAGCAAATCATTTTCGTAATGTATGCTTAAAGGTCCTCCTCCCAATCTGGGGAGGGGGGGGGGGCACAATTATACTAGGCCCTAGAAGCAATCTGTCGTATTCTGGTAAATGCTTTAAGTCTGATTATTAACAAGATAAAGCCGACTTTTTATATGAATAATATTAAATTTCATGCTTCACAAAGTAGTTTTTGATTTACATAAACCTTCGAGATTTTTCAATGTGTATTGACATACAATTGTAAAAACATTATTTTATCAGACTAAAATTTTCAAGAATAAACATAAAAAAAACAATTAATAAAAAAGATTATTGAAACAAATCTGGAAAATTAAGTGTATGCTTCAGCATACAAGTATACATGTATGCTACGCCACTGGCATGTCTTATACGTGTATTGCGCTCCTTACTTTGTGCTACAAACAGTCTCATTTGTATTTAAAACAAATGAGACTGTCCTCGACGATGAATTTTCCCGCATGTTCGGTAATATCTTTGCGATAATAACAGTTAATTGTTTTGCTTTGCCTTTTTATTATTCTGACGCAACAATCCCATATATTTTGAATCTCGGTATCATTTGTTTGTATTTATATAATAAATAAAAATGCTAGTGCCAATTGGAGGGTAAAACAATTCATAAATATTTAAAATGAAAAATCAATAGGTATGCTATTAAAATATCAATAAAATATTCCATTGATTTAAAAAATGTTTATCACATAATTAAGGAAAAGGATCACATGCCTAAATATTAAAAAGAAAGGGTATCTGAACGTGGATTCGAAACAATAGCGTCAACTTCTTCTGGTCACAAGCTAATTGCGTTACACATTAGGCTACATCGGACATAGACGAATATGGAAATACAAATCAAGATACATCTGTCGCATTTTTGAGAAACTTGATCAACCCTATTTTTCATTATTTTGAGCACTTTCCCAAAGGAGGACCACTTTTCCGTCATACGGATTCAAAAGGTTTATTCAAAAGTTGTTCCTCGGATGGGAAAGTGTTGAAAGCATTTGTTTAAGTCTGGGAAACCCCGTCACTTTCATGCATATAGTGAATATGGCTATATTTGCAGTATTATATTAACAATATCGAATATCTCAACAGTTCAAAAATTCATAATCAATTGGAAATTTATCTATTCCATGCAAATTTGCTACAAAAAAATATTTACTCATCAATATTTATTTCCGTTTTTAAAATTGCCGACAAATACGGGCAGTTTTCCGCCATAGCTCTTTCAATATATCTGTTAAGATCAGTGGAACTGTGAGGCAGCCCAATGGTAAAATCACAAGGCATTGAAGTTGAATGTAACGATTCCGTTATCGTCAAAGAACAGGTTTCAACCTAACGATAGGTCTGGGGGTTTTAACCCTGAAACGAATCAAATAACTCAATGCGAACCTTCTATTTTGTCGAGACATATCCAAAGGATGCAGAGAAGATATGTGCATCGAAAATGGATTCATATATTCACGTTTAGGAAAAATGTAATCCTCTGACGATAAAAATATATTACAATAAAGATTAAAGAATAAGTTGTAAACATGAATATTTTTATTAACATTTTTTATAGTATTCTATTAAAATATATCAGAAAAATATAATATAAGACTAATTAATGCACTTGTTTATTTGTTTTTTGCTGAAACCCCTCTCCCCAAAGAGATAAATAAAGAATAATAGTACCATTTCATTAAATCGATGTTGCTATGTGTATTAGGCATGTGGTAGCGGTTTACGACATGCTTCGATGGAGTAATTCCTGACGTGCTTTAGTTCATTAGAAAAATACAAATTATGAGCATCAATCAATTATTTATTTATGTCGTTATTTATCACCGAGCCGCCTCGCAGCGGAACAAACAAATGCATCTATCATATATATCAAATAAACCTTTAGAGTTTAAATAAAAATTCAGTCACTGGGGTAGCGTGATGTATCATACAGTGTAGTAAATAAAATTTAAATTGATTCGATTGCATGATGTTATCAACAATATAGATTCTTCAAAGGGAATGGAAATTTACTGGGTAGTATGAATGTTCAACGTGTAGCATATCATATGAACTAAACCTACAGAAGTGGAATGGAAAATTACTTGGTAAAATCATATTATATATAAAACATAAAGTACAAATGAAATTCAACTGTTAACATTACGTTATATTAAAACATACCTTTAACAGTACAAATGGAAATTCACTGGGTAGGGAGATTTCGTCATCAAGATGGCCGTCATTTCTACAGCAGTAATGCAGTTCCAGAAATGTGTCATTGCCTTCCCCGTAACTTAGAGACGGCAGTATACCACCCATGTCTCCATTTGTGAACGTGTATCCGTTTATCGTGATAGAGCCGTCCACAAAATCTGCAAAAATACGATACTAATATACAGCATTTTATATAGCGCCCTTTTCTACACCCTAGCTACACTAAGCTATAGAAGTATACAGATATACAAAGCAAGACATTAGGACATGGTCATTTACGTGTACATAGAGACTCGGTATCATGATTATACTATCGCAGAAATCGAGATATCAAAAATATTCGCGATACAAAAACAACATATAATTGAATCAAAATAACTGATTTTGCAATCTTTCATACAGTAGGATATGCAAATTGGATTTGCCTTATAAACTGGTAACATAATCTATATGCCTCCGATAGCTTTATTATATAGTTATTGACAGCAGACGATCTGCTTTTAAGATATACGGATTAGTTCTTTAGTGATCTCAAAAATTCTGACAAACTTTTTTTTCGGTGATATTTAAAATGATACGGCTATTTTAAAACGCTCAAGCATCAAAAATTACATATTAGCAAACAAAGTACAAACATATAAATTGTTTTTAAATTTCTATAAAGTTCTGGGGTTTTTTTTGGGGGGGGGGGGGGGTGCTGAAATATTGAATTACCTCTGCAATATAAATAAGAAATTATTTAAGAAATGCATATGCTTTTCTTTTGAATATCACTTAAGGTTCCATTCTCTCTTGTTAAATTTGTTCGCCTTTGATAAGATAAGCTGTCGAAAGTATATGCTTTTTGATACTCCTGATATAACAAATATAAATTATCATTCTTAAAACAAAAAATAAATGTTAACAAACAATTTTTAACTATGCTTCCCTTAATATCCATAGCGAGTCTTGTTTTTCATTTTCAATTAAGTTAAAATTTGTAGTTACCAAACGCATACTTAATATAAATTATATTTGTTATGTTATTATTCTATCCAAAATAGTCACGTTTCACCTGTCTAGCAAAGATATATTTCATACAATAAAAGGATGGAATGAATAAGTACTATTTAACTGATTTTGTTAGATGATAAATGTGGATTGTAGACAGCTTTTGAAGTATTGTTTATCGTATATTCTTGAACAAATTATAATAAATGACTGGTTTTTGAAGACATCACAAACAGAATTTGAATTTTTAATTGGAAAAATCTTGCACCATACTTTAATTGGTGCTGAAGGACAGATTATTGAAAGAAGAAAAAAGGAGAGGAAGAAAATAAATTCATAAGACTGCCTTGAAAAACACAAAAGACGAAGGTTTGCATATATTTTCTTCCGATTCACAAATTGCTATCTACCACGAAACTTGTACATACCTAAGGGACATTCGTCACCGGACTTGTAGATACAATAATCTCCAGCAGGCCAACTGCTCCCAGCTGAATTAATCATGGAAGTGTTTTGTTTCAAGCAGAAATTGATCATCATGACGTGTGTATGAAATGGACCCATTATATGTGGTTCTATTGTCAGAAGATCATCGTCATTCCAGAGTTGTTTTCTTGACGCTTGCGGAAGTGTCAGGTTAACATAGCCACGAGTCCAACCAAATCTGTCCATTTCCGGGCAGCCGAAACCGGACATTGGTATAGCATACTGACCAGCGGGCCAAGCAGACCTGCCAATTTCTAAAAGAATATCGATGTTGATAATATTTATTGAACAAGTACTTACTTCAGTAAACCCGGATAGGGCAAAGCTGGGTGAATCAATATCGTTCAACTAGTACACAATTGTACCGGCCTTTTCTCTATAGAAAATATTATAACAGTTATACCTGGATAACCCGTTCATTCAAACAGATAGTTAGCATGCTTACCATGATTTCTTAGGGTTTTGTTCTGTTCTCTTGATCAATTTACATACTGCTATGATATAAATTTTGGAAATATAAAAAGAAATTTTGTCTTTTTGCTGAAACATGAATAGTTGTGCACACCTCCAATCGTTTATTGGTATTTATTTTGTATTTAAAACGAATCCATGCATTGCCCAGAGTGCATCATTGACATCACAAAATGCTATTATTAAGTGCAATCATTACCAATGAACAGCAAAACTTCTTTATACAGACCCCATTTGTACAGAGAAATTTTGGCGATACATATAAACGGAGTTTGGAGAAAAATCGAGGGGGTATAAATATATATTTTTCAGAAAAATATGGGGGGAAAGGCCTTGAGTTAAACTATTGGCGGTAAGCGAAGTGCCAAATAAACGAGTGACATTATATCTAGATTTTACTGAATGCCTACATGTATTTATATTAAGTCCTTACCTGTTTCACATTCCAGACCCGTGAAGTTGGCACTACACAGACATTGACACGTGACATTGTTAATGGTACCACCGTTACCACAGTTAACTGACAGGCAGGCTGGAAAGTTAAGATATAAGGGTTATCATAAAACCAATGTTTATATTAGATTAAATACTAATATTACGACTTATTGTTGCTTATAAGTTGTTTCAATCTAGACTTGACTGCTGCCTTCATGAAGTTTAATACAACACATTTCATCACAGCATTACCGTTCATCAATAAGGTTTCAATTGTCAGCGTTTTCATAATCTTTTATTTTCGAAGTAGAAAGTGTTGATCTCCAATTACATATTTGACGTGCCCCTGCACAACTCAACTTCTATTTTTAAAATACTAGTAAATTACTGTTAATGATATTCTTGTATCAGACCGGCTACCAGTCCCTAATTTTTTTAAGAAGAATTCCCCCGCTGCATTTTACTACTAGCTTATCTCCCACTAGTTTCTGGAATCAGACATCCAAGTGATCAAAATTAATTCTTTTTCTAAATACTTCAATATTCTAGAGACGGGGATCAGTCTATTATTTTATCTATTACTAAATCCTAAAGGTACGATCACTTGTATGTGTGTAACGTTAATAACACTGACCCCCGGGTTATACGCAGTATAGATATGTTGATTTCATATGACGTCACAATCACGATAATGGACATGAAGTCATAGACTTCAAAATGGCTATAGACACTTGACTATCTTTAGAATATGAACAGAAATCATGGTTAATTGGTAAAAAGAAATCCGTATTCATTTCCTAGTTAGATATAGAAGACGTCCTGGCGTTTGAAAGTCATTTTAGCTCGGCAAATTTAAGGTAACACCCCACTAAGCCTTAGGTGAACATTTGTATTGTACACTAGTTTCGTAAATCTCATATGAAACGGAAACTCAATTATGATCCTAATTTACTGCTGTACTAGTCTATATATAATGAGATGATGTAGATCTTTCATCAGGACCACGTGGTTGTATTACCCGACGACTCGCTGGACATGCTGTAAAACCTTGAATAATGAACATATATCTCGGGAATAAAGTAATGAAGGATATGCGTTAGTCGCAATGGTTGTGTCGCTACTACACAATTAATGATATAATCAAGCACCATACCTGAAGTTGTGTATATGCCCAGCGGGTTCGAGTTTATGGAAAATTATTATTTATAATTCATTACAATGTTGATGGTCTCATGAGGTACATGTATGAATACAAAATGACAGTACATGCCCTATTAGTGTACACATTCTCCACCATCGCTTAATCGACATTTCACTAATAGATGAGATACGAGTGGCTCTTACCAAGATAGGGAATAATTAAAAGCATGTTATTCTTACCAAGAATCCATCAACCGTTCACTTGTATTATGAACAAAAGAAATATTTTGATAAAAGAAACGGAGATTTTTTTTAAAACGAACAAGGGAATAAAGACAAAGTGCCAAAGAAGGGTAAGCGTCTTCCGTTTCATTAACAACACTGGTCGTGCAATTCTAGGTCAATTCCAAGCAATGTCACGCCCTCCAAGTGCGAACCGGGGAAATGACACCAAAACCACAAGAAACACTAGTGAGCATCTTTTATCGGTTATGGTAACAAAATATTCTTCAATGAGATAATGGTTGTGACCATAAAACTTAATCTTCATTCATCTCCCGAAACCTTATGTCTCTCCGTCATTAGTCAACGAAAATTTGGATATTCGGAGCAAACCTTTCAATACCGATTAAACTGTAACTTGCAAACCGTAGCTTTTTTTTATGAAATTTAATTTGGTAGCGTGTTACACGTAGCGAGTACACTATTTATTCGCTGGTTCTTTTGTTTTATCAGCAAGGAGAGATCATTGGAAATCTTGAAAGGTATCACCATGTCCTTTGTATGGTCCAAAACTGTTTTGATTAGGATGGTATTCCATCTGTTTTGATATACAGACGAATATACTTGGCGTCTCGAATAGTAACTGCAAATCCGTACTTTATTAGTTTGGTAGAAATCCAGCTATTCCAATTCCTTAACGTACATTTAAAAAACTCAGTTGTAAAGGATACTAGTCTGGAAAGGCAGAACGTATATTTGTTTGTTTGGGGTTTAACCTCCTCCAACAGCCAGAGTCATATGAGAACGTAGTCCAAAGTACATGGGCAGATCAGTTGGATTCTGTCCATGGAGCCTCAACATTCATAATGACATGCATTAAATATCCTCTTCTGAACTTTGGCTTTTCTATTAAATGTATGCTTCAATCGATACTTAATATGGATTGTCTCTCCCTGTACAACGCCTCCTTCTTGTTTTCTTCCCTGTACAACGCCTCCTTCTTGTTTTCTTTCATGTCATTGCCTTAGTGCATTGCCAATTGAACTGTTTCGTGGGTTGATAGAATGGCTTTCCTTGAACCCCTTGAAAAGTGTTCTATATTTCTCTATACATTAAAGTGAACATTTTCTCTCTGTATAGTAACATCCGTATGGATTTATTCACGCCTTGACCTTTGTTCATTACCAAAACGAACTCTTTTAATGGGTTGGAAGAACATTTTTTATTATATATAAACTATTTATTTTAAAGCTATTACGAAATAAGTTTTTCCAACGTATATCAATCAACATTGTTGCCCCAGATTGAAGTGTGTAAAAGGTATTTATGTCGGAGGAAACAGGATTACCCGTAAACAAAATGTTTTACTCCTCCCCCGAAATGTTTGCTGGTTTTAAGCTCACCTGGTTCGAAGGACCATGGTGAGCTTATGCCATACCGCAGCGTCCGTCGTCCGTCGTCCGTCCGTCGTCCGTCCGTCAACTTTTCCTTTAAAACGCTACTAGTCCTGAAGTAGATTTTGACTAAATTTGGTCTAGAGTATCCTTAGGCCAAGGGGACTCAATTTTGTATAAACGGTGGGTGTGCCCCCCCCCCCCCCCCCCCG